CAGTCAACAAGCTTTTTAAAGAGGGTCTGGAAAGGCCATTACTACATAAGCAGTGTGGGATGGAAGGAGATTAGGGAGGAAAAGAGCACAGGGACCATATGAGAACTTCCTACTTCCTATGTGTATTGTTTATTATTGAAGGCAAAACAAAAAACTTTTTTCCCACAGCACAGGCCTGGTCACACTCAAACTCTCAGGGCGTCTTTAACATCATTATGTAGAATTCTGACATTATTAGTTTATCAATGCAGCGCGTAATATCCGGTTGTAGTGATTCACTCAGTATTATTACTCCCTGTGGTGCCCCCCCCCCTACACTACACTACACTACATGTTGTACAGTGCCTAATACTACAGCAGATCCAGGGTAAGATAGCAGGTCTGCCAGCCAGTTAGGTAATGAGATTTGAGATTACATGGGGTGATCTCTCAGTTCCCTAAACAATGCCCCCCAAACAGCAGATGTCAGTGAACTGGGGTCCGCTGTGGTACATTACCCTCACCTTATCTCAGAGCAGCTCACATATGTTTACACTAAACATTGCTCTGAACCAAACATATGCTTCTGCATAGAAAAAAATAAACATGCATGAATAATATGCACAAAAAAAGATAAGGTAATTATCTCTGTAGCTTCTGGTAACTTCACCAAATGTGTGCTTTTTGAAGTAAGACCAACAAAATAACTTGGTGAGACAGAAAGCTCCCCCTTGAGTCATCATCATAACTGTCACACTGCATCCTCTCATTGAAACAATGCAGTATTGTCTGCAGTGGGGCATCTTTCAAAAGGCACAGCAGCATGCTCTACCTCTTCTGCTCATCACATGAACTGCAGTTTATAAAAGGGAGAATGAAAACAGTGATTCTGCACTAAAACAGGCACATGCAGTGTCTAATTTCATTACCAATAGTGTAAACTGAATAGTCCGTGTTGCACAAACCACAACTTCATTCCATCCTAATGTCTAAGAGTTACACCCAGTCTCACACAATCTCAAGGCAAGAACAACACAACCGTGTTGATCTTTCAATGTCATATTTCCTTTAACTAAAGACAGAGGCATGGTTCATAATGAAATTGAGCCGGAATAGAAACAAAGTCACTATATCTTGTATACAAAGTAGTTCTGCGCTTGCTTTACTTTCTGTATTAGTGTGAATACTTTTCCTTCTGATGCTAAAACTATCAGAAGTTGTAGTGTCCTGCAGATAAATTATGCTCGTCATCCCTAGAACCCGCACTTTTGTTGGCGACAGCTCTTTTAAAGTGTTCTGACCCTCATCTTGATGCGAGCTGCACAGGCATTTTGAACTTGATTATCTCGTTACCAATCTGATATTGTGCAAATTTAACACTGTAGCGCTATCGTACAAATATGCACAAACACCTGGGTGGATACAATAGTATGAACATTATGCACAGTGATAGTGCCATCTAGAGCACCATCTCAAGGTGTGCAATGTTGTATCATACCTGGCCTTTGTTCCTTTATATTGGCTTAAACTTGGATTTATGATTTGTCAACGATTTGATAATTGCCAGACAGCTTGCCAAGGTCTCGTTAAACAGACCTGTAGTAAACTCAAACAATGCCATTCATGACTGGCTAGGCCTTCTTCTAGAAATATCTCATCAAAACAAGACAAACACTGATAACAGAGGTCAAGAAAATCAAAGCAACTTGTTCCTTTTATCACATTTAATGTTTAAATGTTATTGGAGATAAGTAAAAGTTCCTATTGAGAACACACAAAGGACTAATTCATGTTGGGTCATTCTGAATGGTACACAGGCTGAGAGTGGGAGGCATCCAACTGTTATGCCCTGGAAGAGTGCGTAACAGAAACAAAGAGGGCCCAGGACTCCATTTCAGGCAGGATCTGGGCAGCAGATCTATTCAAACAGGCTGCTGTGCAAAACCTCAATATTATATAAATACATAATCATGTCTACTGTAGAGATAAATAAGAAGAAACAAAACAATAACAACCAACAAACTATGTTTTATAATCCAGTGAGAGCTATTCACTGGTATTCACGGTCAGTGCGTTGGCTTCAGTGTGGCAACAAAGGCAACCCATTATTCCCAGTGCCCTGGATGTTAGCCATATTGTCTGTTTCAGCCCTGTGAGGCAGAAAGCTTCCATAAAACATCCCAGAATTCAAAGACACAACTGCTCATTGGCAGGACAAGCTTGCTGGGCATTAATGCTGATTTTCCTCTGGCTTTAACATCTAGTGGGTGGATATCTTTGAATGACATCCTTTATCTTGCTTTTACGAGCACTGAAGATCTGAGTGGGCTCCCTGAAGGCAGCATGGTGTAGACTAAATTGTTTGTTTTCCTGTATGAAGAAAGCCTTGTTGTCATTTTGAGGAGAATATGCTGTGTTTATGCTTTAGTGTACTTGGAGGCCTTGTGATTTGTCTGTCTTGTCTAGTTGTTGTGAAATGTTAAGACACAGCAAAACCAAGTGACTGTCACTATGTTTCAATTTGACATGCCCACTTGCTTCGAGTGTCTGCGTTTGGCCAGCCATGATTTTCATCTGCAGACTCATGAGAGCAGCTGTGCCCTTGGACTGCCTGCATATCTGGAAACAGCTGTGGGGATTCACAATACCTTAACTAAATCCACATTCTGCCCTGAGGAAAGCCAGCCATGTGAGATCATGGTTTAAGGTGTGTCCAATTAGCGGGGCCAGCTTTAAGCAGCACACTGATAGATTGAGGAAGGAATTGATAGGATTTACAATGAATAGTTGTTGATTATTCTGAGTATTGCATTGAAAAAAAAAAAAGCTCCTCAAAACTACTTCTCCAATGACCATAGTAAAACAGAAAAAAAGAAACGCTTTGTAATTTTGTTGAGACGTGTTAAATACTGACCCGTGTGTGTTGGCGACGCCAGCGCAGTGATTCTAGCAGATTCAGTATTTGGATAACAAATGTAGCATAGCTTAGGGGTTCACATGAATTCTTCACATATGACTGCATTTGAAAAAGTGAGAGGTTCACTGGCTCCAAATATAAGAAGCCACAAATAAGGCAGGGAGCATGCACTCCCCCCCCCCCCC